TCCAGTCAATAGAATACGTTGATGTTGAGTGGGTGGCATGTTTGTGGTTAGATTATAAAAATTCTGACCTTGGTTCTGCTAGCAGACCCTCTCCTTTGCTGGCTTTGATGAAACCACTTGCCATGATGGAGAAGCCCATAAAACAAAAAACTGAGGGCAGGGGAGCCTACGTGCTCAGTTGGCTAAGTGTTTGCCTCTTGCTTTAGGCTCAGGTCACGGTCCCAGGGTCTTGAAATCAAGCCTCCTGTAGGGCTCCATGCCAAGATTTTCTCTCTCCCTCTTCCCCTCCCCTCCCCACTAAAAAATAATAAAGACAAAAAAATAAAGGAGGGAAAACATTTTTTAATTTTTTTAAAAAAGATTTTATGTATTTCAGAGAGAGTGCAAGCATGAGTGGGGGGAGGGGCAGAAGCAGCAGGAGAAACAGGCTCCCCGCTGAGCAAGGAGCCCAATGCAGGGTGTGATCCCAGGACCCTGAGATCATGACCTGAGGCAAAGGCAGACTGAGCTATCCAGGAGCCCCTGGAAAATATTCTTAAAACAAACAGGGCGCCTGGGTGGCTCAGTCGTTAAGCGTCTGCCTTCGGCTCAGGTCGTGATCCCAGGGTCCTGGGATCGACTCCCACATCGGGCTCCCTGCTCAGCGGGAAGCCTGCTTCTCCCTCTCCCACTCCCCCTGCTTGTGTTCCCTCTCTCGCTGTGTCTCTCTCTGTCAAAAAAATAAATAAAAAAAATCTTTAAAAAAAAAACCAAAACAAAACAAACAAAAAACTGAGGGCAGCCTCTGGCCAATAGCCAACTAGGATTTTAAGTCCTCAATCCAACAACTGGAAAAGAACTGAACACTAACCATGTAAGTGAGCTCAAAAATGCATCCTTCCCCAGTCAAGCCCTCAGATGAGCGAGCCCTCAGCCTTGGCTGATACCCTGGATAGCATGTGAAACAAAGAAACAGAGGATCCAGCTGAGCTGGGCCAGGATTCCTCACTCACAGAAAATTTCAGATAGTAAATGTGTGTTGTTCTAAGCCACTTTACTTTTGGGGTAATTTATTAAGCAGCAATAGATAATTAATACAGAAGAGTTACAGAAATGGTTTATAAATATGAAATTGGGGTACCTTGCATTCTGGAATGCCTAGATACTTCAAAGTCAATGATACTGAAAATAAAAATGGAGGAACCGTTCTAGATTGAGACCAAAGAGATATATAACCAAATAAATACAATACATAAACCTTGATTATTTATATTAGATCCTTCAAAAAAAAGTGTTAAAAGGTATTATGAGACAATAAGGAAATTTGAGTATGCACTAGATATTAGATATTATGAAATCACTGATTCTCTTAAATACAATGATAGTTATAAATAAGAATATTCTTTAAAATGTCCTTATTCTTGATACATATTGAAGTATTTAGTTGATAAGTGTGATATCTGTAATTTCAAGAGTAGAGATAAAGCCAATATGGCAAAATGTTAACAACTGTAGAATTTAGTTGGCGAGTCCATGAGTGTTCACTGTACTCTCTGAACTTTTCTGTATGTATGAACATCTTCATTAAAAAAAACTGAAGAAAACCACATGGAATGGTAAGTGAAAAAAATCTTCAAAATTGTATTTATAATCACAACTGCACTGTGTACTATAGACTGAATGTGTCACCCCCAAAATTCAGTATGTTGAAATGTAATCCCCAATGTGATGGGGCCTTTGGGAGATAATCCAGTCAGAAGGGTGGAATCCTCATAAATGGGGAGACCCCAGAGAGCTTCCTCCTTCTGCCATGTAAGAACCTTCATCAAACAAATATGCCAGCACCTTCATGTTGGATTTCCTGGCCTCCAGAATGGTGAGAAATAAATGTTTTTAAGCCACCCAATCTATGGTATTTTTGTTGTAGCAGCCCAAATAAACTAACTCCCTGTGTATAATTTTCTATAGAAAAATATACTAGAAATTAATTATAAATTATTTTTTTAAATTACTTAAAAAAATTGAATAGCATTTCCTAATCTCAAGTAATTTAAATCTCAAGACCTTTAGGAAGTATGATACATCACAAATGATCGCGTCTATACATTTTATCATTTCTTAACACAATAACTGATAGCTGCTAAGGAAGCTATGTCCCAGTCTTATCCCCAGAATTTGTGAAGAATCTGTTTTTAGCTATGCTTCTTCCATGATTTAAAAGGAACATGAGGTAGGTAAAAATATCACTGAATTGCTATTTAGTCATAAACTGCAAGTCCCAGGGGCTAGGGGTAGCAGGATTAGAGCAGGGTAGTGGGGAGATCACAACAGAAGCATGCTCATTTAAAAAATGTGATGCCAGATGGAGGCTAATAGTTCTGAAATCAAGGCAATGATAACATGTCTTTTGCAAGCAACTGTGTTTCAAATGCAATATGGACATTAACTCTAAGACTTTTACCATTGGAAGTGACTTGACAGCATGTATCAAGTCTAAAGAATGTGCATTAATTTGGCCCACCAATTCCATGTATAAAATGTAGCCTAAGGAACTAGTAAGACACTTAGGATATTTGTCTGAGCACTGATGAGAGCTGAAAATTGAAAACAGTATCAGATAATAGGAAATGGATAGATCCATATAATGTACTGTATTTATTACGGTGGAGGTATGCATATTAATATAATGGCAAGCTTAAAAACCAGGTTATTGTGCAATGTGTATCCCACAGTCTTTTAAGACAAAAACAACACATTTACACACCTACTAATATGCCACAAGACGTTAAGAATGGTTCTCTCTGGGTAGTGGGATTACAGGCAATTTTTATTTGATGTGTGTGTTTTATTCAATGAATGTATGTTTTTATATTCACAAAAAAATATTAAGGGAACCATGGAAAAAAGTTTAACTGAAAAAGACTTTAAAATATCACAAAACCATCATATAACACTTATTTTTCAAGTGGGATTATCTTTTTTCTTTAGATAAATTGTATTTTGTATTTTTTCTTCAATAAACATGAAATACTGATATTCTAAAAGTTGTTGTAAAGACTTGTACACTATACGAAGCAAACAGTGTTTACAATTTGCCACCCCTTACATTTTGAAGAGTGAACTCACGTTCTTAATGTCCTCCCATCATTCAAAGTTTCTACCTAGTATTTCAAAATATTGTAGATAAATTGTTTGTACTTAACAACTGCATGCTAGACTGGACATGTTAACAAGAAAGCAGTGTATTGTAATGGAACCAGGCTGACCTGGGTTAAACTCTTAACTTTGCCATTTAAAACTTTGACTTAACCATCTAAATCCCAATTCAACAAAGAGTAAAGCAAAGGTTCCTAATGGAGCCAGACAACAGAATTTTTAAAGTCTGAGTACACATCAGAAAGTTGCAATTTCATACTCAGCAAAATACACATTCCCCCTATTTATATTTTACCCATTCTTTTTTGATATTCCAAATTTTTCCTTGAATCCAGATGATCAAAAATCCTTCCTCCCTTATTGGGGGAAGAACTGTTCTTTGCAATTTGTCATTAAGCCAGTAAATTGATGGTTCTGTATACCATAAATGTTGAGAATGCTGCTATCTTAGGCAAAGTCCTCTTTGTGAAAAGATCTTTCCCACTTTTAAAAATAGGAATAGTTCTGCTTCTCTTAAGAAACTCAAGTTCTTGTAAACACATTAAATTATGTAATTAAAGTGCTGGTTCCTCCTTTGTGTTAATTGCTAGGATGTTCAGAGACAAATTTGTGATGCCTCTCTCTAGAAAGTATAGTATGGGGGCGCCTGGGTGGCTCAGTTGGTTAAGCAACTGCCTTCGGCTCAGGTCATGATCCTGGAGTCACGGGATCGAGTCCCACATCAGGCTCCCTGCTCAGCAGGGAGTCTGCTTCTCCCTCTGATCCTCCCCCTCTCATGCTCACTGTCTCCCATTCTCTCTCTCAGATAAATAAATAAAATCTTCAAAAGAAAAAAAAAAAGTTTAGAAAGTATAGTATGGTATGCACTTTTCTTTTTTCTTTTAAAGATTTTATTTATTTATCTGAGAGAGAGCACATGAGAGGGGGGAGGGTCAGAGGGAGAAGCAGACTCCCTGCCCTGCCGCGCAGGGAGCCCGATGCGGGACTCGATCCAGAGACTCCAGGATCATGACCTGAGCTGAAGGCAGTCGCTTAACCAACTGAGCCACCCAGGCGCCCCTGCACTTTTCTTTTTTTCTCCTATCATGATTCCTCCCATTATACTTACTTCGGAAAATAGAGACACCATCACTCTTCATCTAAGGGGTTTTGGAAATTAAATATCAAAGTGGTTAGCATAGTGCCTGGATCATGTTAGAAGCTCAAAAATACTACTTTTACATGATAGGCTCTGGACTTGCCAATAACATTGTTATTGCTTGCACAGTTGCTTGATAAAATTCACATTTCAAATTCCCTTTGAGACAATGGAAATGACCAAAAATAAACTAATATCAAAACTAGAATGAATAATGAAGTTACCTCAAATAGGGAGAGACAAAAGAAAATGGATCATAAGCCTGGAGTTAATTTGGGGTCTCATCTGTCTGAACTGGTAACAACCTAATGCAGCTTAGTAAGTTGCTTTTCCTTCATCTAAAAATAAGCCATCAAACATAATTTCTATTTACAAGTAACTTAAATGAAGAAATTATATCTTTTTGATATATGGAATAATTTATAACAAACTTAATTTTTGAAAATTCTAAAGTACTTATGCTAAAATAAGACCTTGAAATGTATCAGTGCTGTTGAAAGAATCAGCAATGAAAATGAGTAGAGCAGAAGTTAAATAAAAGACAACCCCTGACAAGTAACAGTTTAGGGTATATAAGTAGTAGAAGCAGATTATATAAATAAACATTCTTATCTTATGTGGCAAAGGTATGAACATTATGCCACTGTAGCATCTGTGTTGTTGATTTTAGCTTATTCTTGTTTCTAAACTCCTGAAAACTTACCCACATCACACAGGAAAATCTCAGTTCATCAGTGCAAAAATTTTATTTCTTCTTTATCTCCTCTTACCCCCCACTTTACAAGATCTGAAATTTTACTTAATCCACAGCCTTTTTTTTTTAACCATCTGTAATCAGTCATGTAAAACGTGAGAAAAAACACTAATCAATTTAAAATCTCAGCCCCGTTCCCATTGTTACAGTAAATTTAGGATAAGTCTACAGCATTCACTTACTTTAGCTGGTTCTGATACTGAGGCATACTTTTTTATTTGAGAATCAACACCTAAAGACTTGGCTAACTGTACAGCATTTAAATCATCACTGATAAGTGTCCCAAGAGCCACAAGGAGTCTAAAAGTGGCTTCTAGGTCTTGTACAACTTCCAAGACTGTGCTAATTACTGATAAGCATTGAGCTTTCCCTTCAATGTTATGGTCTTTATGAAAACAAACAGAATAGTTCAGGGTCAGTGTAGCCAGAGCAATGTGAATGTTCTTATTGCTCCCTGATTTCAGTTCTATTGCATGAGACATTAGTGATTCCCTCTGGGACATCATGAGCTTTTGTCCTGCCTGGCCAACAAAACAATTACAAAAAGTCCTCAGAGCAAGCAGCTGGTTTGCTGGCTTTCCTTTAGGGTTCAGAAGACTGATAAGATGACTGCTGAACTGAGCCCCTTCCTTTTCATTGCAGAAGTTCTCATTCACACTGGGATGTTTAATTGATAACCGAAGAATGTCAAGTGCAGGAAAAACAATATCTATTAAAAAGAAAAATTCATTAATGTTTATAAAAACCCAGAAAATTCCTATGACTATTACTCAGTTTTAAGAATCTTATTTCATTAACACACGACCATTTCAGAAAATGTTAAAAACCATGTGCCTGCTTTACAAAATATGTATATTTCTAAAACTTTTGTTAATTAATTTTTCATATTTATAGAGACTGGATTTATTTTTACAGGATCATGTACGCTTTAAAGATAATTTAAATGGGTTATTATCTAGCTTGATACATACTGAGTATTCAATAAATCCTAGTGGAATGAATGGGATGGGGACCTTGCTTTTAAAAATCCTGTAAGACCAGAGAGTTCCTATAAGACCAGAGAGTTGAAGAGGAAAAGCTTCTTTTTTTTAAAGTATTCCTTTTTTTTTTTTTTTTGAGAGAGCACGCACATACGTGTGACTGGGAGTCGGGTAAGGGAAGGGAGGAGAAAATCTTAAGCACACTCTACGCCTAGTGCAGAGGCCAGTTCAGGGCTAGATCTCACCCTGAGATCATGACCTGAGCCAAAATCAAGAGTCAGGTGCTTAACTGATTGAGCCACCCAGGCGCCCCAAGAGGGAAAGTTTTTTTAATAGAATTCCAGTTGACAAATGCTAATAGGATGCTTACAGGTTGGTGGAGGGCTTTACATTCAAAGGATTGGGCAGACACCATCTGAATGAACCCACTCTATAATCTTAGCATCACTAAAAGTAAAGAATCCAGAAATTATGTGCCCTGTGATATAAAGGTAGTATGCAGCATTATTTATAAAGGGTATTCATCTAAAAAAAAAATTATTGAACCAGAATCTAATTATGTTTAGCAGGAACTATAGAGATAGTGGAACACATTAAGTGATCTGCCAAATTCACAATATGGGATATTAAGCAGGACAAATGATTTTTCTTCTCTAATCAATAGCATGAAAAAGTAATAAGGGAGAGGACACTTTTGGAATTTAAAAGGAATTAAGTGAGTTAAAAAAATAATTAGAGCAAATGGTTGTAGCCTGGGGTTAATAGGTCACAAAACGTTCTTGGGTGGTTTGCAGGGGATCCACAAATGCTATAAAATGGCATATGAAATGGTATATGTATGAGGATCATTACATTCCCTTCAGATTCTCATAAGGCATGTGACCAAATCAAGACTATGAATTACAATTACCCAGGGTAACTTTTACTCAATCTAGAAACACCAGTAATACTGACAGAAATGAAAAGATACGCTTACTGCTTTCTAATTACATTTTAAAGACTGTTTCCATACCTTCAGGCCAGTTAATAGCTTTCCACAAAATCTGAAGTTGCTGGGCTGTGGGTTTTTCTGAAGAACTATTACATATGAGAGACAGTATCTTTTCAAGAAGTATCAAGTCATCCTCAGTTAACTTTTTCTCTTCAGGTGCAGTTCCATTAAGTTCCTTCAGTTTACCTAGAACCCAAACTCAAACTTTCAAAATTCTCTAACTGTAATTAGCCAAATATGATATAAAAATGTCAAAATTTTCAATAAGAGTATGGGGAAGGTAAGACTTTTCATGGCAATTATCAAAGACCATAAATTAAGAATAAGGCCTGTGAATGTTTTTAGTTGAGCACAGTAGAGAAAAAGAAAGGCTACTGTGATGATTTTTATTTTACCTGTTATTTTCTAAGATCTTATGAAACTTTCTGCTTCAAGTAAGTTTTAAAGTAGATCATACTTGTAATCATTTTGGTTTTCAAAGCAATATCATGTCATTATACCCAAGTATAGGTCAATCTTCTATTTTCTCAAAGAAAAAATTTGTAACAACTTTTAGCCAACTTATGTCAACTTATATGACTGTTAATGAATTAACTGAAGAGTTAAATGTCTATTTATAATATTTAACTTATTGACTTATTTCCATATGCACATTTGACATCACATTACTTTAAAAACATATTTAATGGAAATACTGCCTTTTGTTACCATATTCACGAAACATGAATGTTTCATGTTTTCATGAAACAATTTTTTGTTAAAGATTTACTTATTTTAGAGACAGAGTAAGAGACCGGGGGTTGGGGGAGAGAGAGAATCTCAAGCAGACTCCCTGCTAAGTGTGGAGCCCGACATGAGGCTCTATCTCATAACCCTGAGATCACGGCCTAAGCCAAAACCAAGAGTCAGAAGGTTAATCGACTGAGCCACCTAGGCGCCCCTTACCAATGATTTTTATAAATATGGCATAAAGGTTAATTCTGACAACCCCCCCCGTTTTATATTGAGGTGTATATGTTATCATATCTCAATTCTCATGAAGTAGTAGTGGCAAACAGAGCTAGGATTCTCTGTCCAAAAAACACCTATCATTTTGTTTTGAGAGAAAAAAGTTAACAGAAAAAGCATTCAAAGTCAACTGAGCAGTTTCATTTTTAATGGACAATTTGAACAGCCTTTTATTATTATTTCTAAGGGCCACTAATTTTTTTAAGAGGAAACTTTTATTGTTTAAATGCTTTACTCATTCGTTTTCATTATTTTTTTTCCTGAAAACATTAAGATCTTAGGGGATTTCTATTTTTCCCTTTTAGTTTTTTTTTTTTTTCATTAAAATCATCATAAAGCATTTACCTTATATTTGTATAAGGCTTCTTGAAAGTATTAAGCGTCCATTATCAGACTGTGTATTTGTAGTCGACGCAGTTGTGTAATCCCACAACAGAAGTCTCTATCATGTAAGCACCCAGTTCCTAGCTCATGTGAGGAGGAGAAACAGTCTTGAGTGCACTGCAAAGAGTCTATGGATATGTGAGAAAACTGTATAATTAAAATGCACTTACCTAATATTTGTGTAGGGTTTGCCTGGTCAAAAGTAACAGCCTCTTTTTTAGGGAAATAAATATTCACTGTCTTAGATGCAGCTGATCGGTAGGCACTATTCCCTATTTACAGAACAGAAGATGATGAAAATCATAAGGAGTAGACAAAACTGAGATTTTTCTAATTGTATGACTTTGTTTTAACAATTATTTAGATATGTAACTACAATAAATTTTAGTTTTTGGACTGGGAGCTTAAATGTAAAACAAAAGCCTTTCCATTTCCTATTCTCTACATCTCTCATACTTCTAAGATTCAACCTAATTTACAAAGTTTTAAAAGATCAGAGAGTACATAACAATTATGAAACCTTCCATTCCCATCTTAAGGCATATTGTCTCTTTCTTCTCATGTCTTTTACTGCTTATTCCAAATGATATAGTAGGCATTGTCATTTTCTCCATCATTTAGTTTATTTTTATAAGTTTTATTCAAATTCCAGTTAGTTAACATAAAGTATAACATTAGTTTCAGATGTACAATACAGTGATTCATCACTTCCATACATCACCTGGTGCTCATCACAATACATTCCTTAATCCCCGTCACCTGTTTAACCCATCCGCTCACCCACCTCGCCTCTGGTAACCATCAGTTTGTTCTCTATGGTTAAGAGTGTTTCTTGGTTTGACTCTCTCTCTTTTTCCCCTTTGCTCACTTGTTTCTTAAATTCCACATTATGAGTGAAATCATAAGGAACACGTGGTGTGTATACAAACACACACACACACACACACACACACACACACACACACACACTGGAATATTAGTCAGCCATAAAAAAGAATGAAATCTTGCCATTTGCAATGATGTGGATGGAATGAGAGAACGTATTATGCTAAGTGAAGTAAGTCAGTCAGAGAAAGACTAAGGCCATATGATCTCCATCATTTCAATAAATCCCCCCAAGATGTAGGTTCCTGAACGGAAAGGGTCCTAGTCTTTTATACATTTTTATTTCCTAAGTCCCTATTATAGTAACCAAAATGCAGTGTGTCAAAAAAAACTGGCACAGGATGAAAATTTAGCACAATACATAGTGACTAAAGTCAATTAAAGTATAATTTAAACCTAATTTGTATTTTACCTGCATTCCAAATCTTAATTTAGCATTGGTGGTTCAGTGGTAGAATTCTCGCCTGCCAAATCTTAATTTATTTTTGTTCCAATGCAAAAATTAAGTTATTTCGCAAAAATACATATAAAACATTTTGATTTTCTGAATATATCAGAAACAGGAATAAGGTAGGTAAAGATTAAGTTATGAGATAAATACACAAAATTAATTTTAATTGCTTATAAAGCATAAATATTTATTGATATGATCAAAGATGAGCTAAAAGACATTGCCTAAAGTCCTGGTCATTACAGTCTAGTTGTGGTAAGGAGAATGCAAATCAAATACCATCCAAACAATTAAGTAAAACAAGAAAGAAAAATATAGGGTGCAATGTGAGCTTATCATAGAGTAGGTGATCCAGCAAAGGGCATATGTGAACATCCAGGAAATTTCATTTAATAAATACTGTATTACAAAATTAAATAAAAAAAGAAAATGGAGGAAAAAGCCAAACAATAATTTGTGATCTAAATAACAAAGCAAAGGGCTCAAGTATTCTAAAACAGAACAGCATCTACCAAACTCCTGAGGCAGAAAATAGCATGGGACGCTCAAGAAACTGACACAGGCCGGTATGGCTGGGCAGAAAAAAGGCAGAGAGGAAGGTGATACAAGCCAAGAAAAAATATTCAATGGGAAACCATTAAAGGATTTTAATCAGGGGAGGAGTATAAACAAAGTTCTACTGTAAAATGATCGCTGGCTGCAGTATGGACCATGGAGAGACCAATTTGGAGGATATTACTTCATTTGTCTAAGTAAGAGATGACAATAAGTTTGACTAAGGTATATAAGGCCCAGTATACAGTTTTAACCAAACTGTTAAAAACTATAACTTCTGAAAAATGACAGGAAGCACAGTTAACTTTAGACTCTTTTCTAATACAACAGGTACAGCTAACAATTACTAAGTATTTATTCTGTATAAAGTGCTTTATATACATTTTGTAATTTTAAGCTCTTAACTCCATGAGGTAGACATTACTTCAACTTTACAAATGAGAAAAGTAGAGGCACAGAAACAGAATAACTGGCTCAAGGCAAAACACGTAAAAAGTAGTGGAACAGAGATTTGAATCTAAGCATTCTCACGCCAGAGTTCTCAATCTTAATCATTGTGTTATACTTCAATACCACCAGTCAATGTTACTTTTGCAGTGAAAAAATAGCTTACAAAAATCATCACATACCAAGTTAGTTCTTAAGTAGAGTGCTGATTCGTAAGTATATATTTTATTATGGTCAAGAACATATATGTCCCACATATATTAGTCTCTTGTAGAAAATAACAAGTAGGGGAAAACATATGGCAAGAGGTGAACCACAAATTTAGTTCTGCATTTTATTAATAGTCAATACAGAGGGAAGCATGTCTGCCTATATTCAACACTGATGAACAAGTAAGATGTGTCAGAGTCTAGGCAAGATACTAAGAATAAAAAAGAAAAATTAATTGGTCAGGAGAAGGCCAGATAGCATAGGCCTGAATCACAAAAGCAATTTTTTTTCTGGGTCCTCTTAAACAGAACATGTAGCATAGTAAATAACATTCTCTCTTTTTTAAGGTTTTTATTTTGACAGAGAGAGAGAGAGAACGTAAGCAGGGGGGAGTGGCAGAGGCACAAAGAGAAGCAGGCTCCCCGCTGAGCAAGGAGCCCGATGCAGGACTCAATCCCAGGACCCCAGGATCATGACATGAGCCAAAGGCAGACGCTTAACCAACTGAGCCACCCAAGCGTCCCTGAATAACATTCTCAATACATTAAGAATGAACAAAGGAGAGATGCAAAAAAACTCAGTTTTCATAAGGGTAGTGAGTAAACCAGAGCTATGACAGAATAGCAGTTTTCAATCCTGGCTACACATTAGAATCACATTGGAAGATTACGAAAACTACACTTGCCAAGGCCTCAAACCAGAGCAGTAATAGACTCAGTGGGCTTCTCTGGAGATGAGGTTCTTTTAAGTTTCCTACATGAGTCCCATATGCAGTATGAAAAATTCTGAGAACATTCTAAAAGCCAGGTCAAGGGGTGCCTGGGTGGCTCAGTCATTAAGCGTCTACCTTCAGCTCCGGTCATGATCCCAGGGCCCTGGGATCAAGCCCCGCATCAGGCTCCCTGCTCAGCGGGGGGCCTGCTTCTCCCTCTCCCACTCCCC